CCTGATGTGCACATGGGTAATGCCTTTTTATTGGCCTTAATACTTACTGTGTGACTGATGTTTGTAATACCTGTCATTGTTCTTTTTGCATGTTTAGATTTGATGAGGAAATATTTTTATTATACTTTTAATAAGTATTTATGAATATATATTACTGTTGAGAGTTTGGGGTAAGTGTGATGTGTTTTGGAAGTCTCTTGTTTATTTAATACGTATATATAAGAGGATAGCTATGTAGTTTAAATTAATGAATTTTCTGTCAATATGAAATGCTGACATTACTGATCTTGATAAGCAGTTGCCTCATGTGTCATAAAAGTCAATAAAAAGGTGAATAATATATTAAAATTATTGCTATTTTATTATTTTAACGTGTAATTTAGATTTTTTTTGTGATGATAAAGTTAATCTCCTTGTAACCTAGTTTTTGTTCTTTTTGTTGTTGTTCTTGTTATTGAAGATGTCATCAATAATATATTACTTTTTTACCTGAGACTATGATTAAAAAGTTCAAAACCGCAGCATTGAAAACTTAATGTTTCTGTAAGATTATAAATGTTTTGCTGTTTTTTTTTTTTTCTTATAAAAATACAGATCCTCAATCATTTAAATATAGTTTTTTTTCCCCAAGAATGCAACCCAGAGTCACCTGCCAGTCAGTGTTTGTTGATGCAGAGCTCTCTAGGAGGTCCTGAAGAACAGCAGAGGGAATTGGGAGGTCAGGATCTACAGTCCATGCTGGAAGAAATGAGGGATGAGAGAGAAGGTGATCAAGCTAATAAAAGATTATTCCAGAGTATTTTTTATGCATTTATTTGAAAATATTGAACAGCTTTTTTTCCCTTCCTCTAGGAGTTTCTAACCTTATTGATGAATTGATGTCCTCAGATGGTAAGTAAAAATAATTTTGTCGTTTATCTGCATTGTTGGCCTTCTGAATGGCCTCTTGTGGTCACAAGGAGTTTACTGTTGTGTGCTCTCCTTATCAGTTAATCATCAAGCTAGCAGTGTAGATAAATCGTTTTAATATCTCCCCACCAAAGGAGGATGGATTCCTACAGCTGAGTGATGGTTCTTCTCAAGGCCTTCCTTCTGTGCATGACTTTTATTATGGGCTCATTTTTAGCTTTGAGATGTATAGCAATAGAATCTAAAATTAACTCCTTTTGTGAACTTCAACAAAAATGTGCTATTTTTCCACAAAATTTCGAGCTAACAACAGCAAAAATATTAATATGCTTTTAATAAGTATTAACTTACCATATTTATTTATTTATTTTTCTTTTAATATTATATGTAGGTATGTGTCTATGGATCACATATAAGACTTCAGATCTTGGTGTCTGCATTTATAAATGTGACTATACACATAAAAGGCTAATTAAAAGCAAGTGTATTGTTTACTTTATTGTGGAAAAAAATAAACAAAATGCTTAGTTTAAACCTTCACTTGATAAGAAATATTATCAGATTTTTAACTTGGTATGCTAAATCATTTTCAAAAGATTAAAAACTTCTTGCTAAAAATCAAGTGTCAATTATAAGGATTTAAACAAATATTTTGATTCTTTAAATATGTCATTAAATTAATATTGTTCTAAATGTATCTAGTAAGATAGTGACATTTTAGTGAGTGTCTTCTGTAACTCATGGTACAAAAATATAGGATGTTATTTTTATTATTTAGGGAACATTTCATAAAAATGAAACCAGACCCATTCTAATGTATTGACCTTATTCTTCGCATACGAGCAGGCGCAGCCATTTGAATCTCTTTGGCTCGAGACTTCTGGTCTTATTCACTTCTATTAATTTTTAGACGTTAAAACAACTTGTTGTGCTGCTTAATGTTGCAAACTGATATTTTCTTATTATATTATTTTGCTTTATGTGTATAGCCATGGACACACTTGTTTGTAGAGCAAGTAGTTTGACCGTTTTCTGCTGTTTATTATTCCAAGTCATTTCTCCCATAAGCAACTGAATCGAAAGTTCCAGAACAATCGCAAAATCGAGTGCGCTTCCCAATTTAAAAATAAGGTCAATAGAATTATAATGATAAAAATAAACTATATTACAGATATCATGCTTTTTTCGTTCTTTGGACCTATGTGTGTATCTGTATCAGGGTTTTCCTGCATAGAGGATTAAAGGGCAGCTACCTCTATCAATTTTGTTTTACCTAAAATTAGATTCTCATCTTGAAAAAATCCTGAAAAATGTATTATTTTATCACAAAAAATAAACAGCAACTATTTGCATTATTGGTAATACAAAATGTTTTTTTTTTTTATGTTTAAAAATATGATTATTGCCATTTTTACTGTGTTGATAAATAAATCACTTTTATTGTCACATCCTCAGCTGCATGTGTATTATAATGAGCAGAAATCTTTGCCATGATGAGATGAAAAAAAAAAAAACTGAAAACAAAAAACTGACTTTTGAACAGGAAGACAGTATGTGTATTTCCAGTTTGTTTTTGTACATGTAAATTGGACAAACCAAATAATTATTTTTTTTTTTTTACTCTTGCCAGTTTTCCCATTGTTAAGACTGTCACCCAACCCTGGTGTGGACTACAGTTTCAACCTGGATGACAACGAGGGAGTCTGTGACCTGTTTGATGTACAGATTCTTAACTACTAGAACATGATTCGTGTCACACTGATCCACACTTTATTCTCAAAGGACAAATGCAGAGGTAACGAGTCTCTTTCCCCCACTGCCAACGGCTGCATTCCTGCCACACTTCCTGAACCTTGAACTTTGGCTTGCACTCAGTTTCACATTCATTCACACTTCATCCTTAGCAAGTCTTTAACAGTGTTGTCCTGTCTGCTTTCAACCATGACTAATGTTTCAGAGAAAGAGACAGGAAAGATTGAACCCTCCCACCCAAACTGTAGACTCTATTGTTATTTTGTTTGATACAGTCGTTAGTTTGGTTTCATTTTTTTGTATTTTTTTTACCTCACCCATTGTTCCCGATGAGTGATGGTGCATTTCATAGAGGTGAATGGAGGGAAGCCTGAATGTAATCTGAGGAATTAAAACCACCCAAACATGATACACTTTAAGATTTGGCTGTTCACTTGTTGGAACATGTGCCAAAAACAATCTGTTTTTTTCTTATTCATGATACTAAAGTTCTAACCTTTATATTTTTTTACCACATATTGCAAGCAGTAGACATGAAAATGAATAATATTATTTAACAGCACACATAACGATTTGAACAGTTTGATTTGTTTGTTTCTTAACTATTTAATCAGCACTCCACTGTGTATATTTATATTGCGTTTTTGTTTGTCTTTGTTACTGACTGCCATGTTGGTATATCACTGTTGTTCACCTTGTTGTGAAAAGCTGATTTTTGTTTGTTTGTTTGTGTAGAGGCAATCCTAACTATTTAAAAAAGGGAAATGATTATAATTTTGTACTATATTGTTCTTTAGAGGACATAAAGCTGCCTTGGATAATCTTTGTTTCTACATTGCATTCCAAGATTGTGCCTTACACAGTTTGTAAGTAACTATTTTCTTTGTATAGTTTTCTAATCAAAAGAGCAATGTTTTTTTGTTCTGTTGCACATTTTTTAACCAAAGTTTTTTATATATGTGTGTATGTATATGAAACGCTTGTTATTGCTCAAGTATTGTGATCACTTATGTTTGGTGTTGAAAGGTTTGTTTGTAGCACTACAATATAACACACATGAAGCATTCTTTTGAGTTGTCTCACTTTCTCTCTATTTATTTATCTTTCTTAAGGTTTTATTTGTTTCACACACAGCAGTGTTTGGACAGCAGATTTAAAAATGAAAAGGGCTATGTCATTTTTTAACAAACCTAAGTTATGACCTTAACAGACCAGAAGGTGGTAGCAAAAACACAGATGAAATTTCTTTGCTGCCTTTTCTTTTGTACCTGCAAGACTTTTCTTTTTTTAACTAAACCAGTTGTACTGTTTAATATTTAAAAACAGTTGAACGCTATCTACTTTATACAGTAAAAGAAACTTCATTAAATTATTTTGATGTAAATGTGGGGTTTTCTCGTAAACGTGTGAAGTAACTTAAGTTTACTCGTTTATTCACATAAACAAAATTATATTAAAATGTATAACATATATTTTGGTTTTCCTCAGCTCCCCAAACAATAAAACAGGGCTCATAAAAACTGAATTTTAAAGATAACGAAATTGTAAATTGTATATATTTTGTAAAAATGTAAATATTATCTTGCTAAGACATGTTATTAGCTGATAGTGATATAATGTTCCTATTCGTTCTGTTTTAAATATTATATCAGCACCAAATTGAATATTTTTGCTCGGCCTAAATAAAATTTTATTTGCTCAAGTATGACTATGGCACAGAAAAGCCTATATGTCTTATTTTTTTAGGATATAAACTGTTTATCTCCAGTTCCATATGCTTTTCTTTGTTGGAGTATCATTTGAAAATCAGTTAGGCCTTTACATGTATGGTGGAAGATTTGTTTTGTAAAGGTTTGTTTGGATTGTGCAGCTGGAGTTAATACAAATGAGATTTTACCCTCGTGACCCATTGAAGTGAGCCAAGATTTTTGCAGAATGCTAATCTGCGTCTCCTGAAATTCTTTCAAACATCTTTGATCATTGTGAAACTAGATATTGCAGAACTGTGCCAAAACATTTCAAACTGAAATGGTGCAGATGTGCAAAATGACCAATCATGCACTATGATGTTATTACAGCCAAACGAAAAACACCCTATGATTTAAACACTGAATGATCAAAACAGCGAACATGATGAGCTTATGTAAACAAGAACATTCTTCCATAATAATGATAGGGTCAAAAACTGTTTTCTGTTGTCTTTGTTCTGATAGGTTATTCGTCTAGAGAGCGTGATTCTGATTAGTCAGTTGTGGTATTTAGTGCTTTGATATTCATTCATATTTGCTGCTTTCTATGGAACTAGTGCATCCTGGTTTATTAAAGTCATGCCAGCAATATTTTACAAGTTTAGAAAACTTCTTTTTATTCATAATTTTGCAGATGGTTATGTAGAAAAAGATACATCACACACAGTCTTGAAATCATCTTTCGTACGCATAAATGCAAACTTTCAGGTCAGTCTATTACTTTATTCTTATTCATGCATGTACAAATGGTGTGAAAGGCAATCAGGACCCAAAGTTTTTACATTTTATTGTCATCACACCGAGCTTGACCATGTTAAGGCAGAGCTTTGATCATGCAGATATGCTGATATGCTTTGTGCTTGCAGGACAAAATTTCATAGTCTTTCATAACTTGCGTGGATCAAAGTAACTTAAGCACCTGATGACATAGTTAAGTCTTTTTAAGAAGTCTGCAACTCTCAGACCGATACTAGACAGAGCTTGAGTTTTTTATAGTGCAAGCATGCAGATCTTAACTAGTGTAGAGGAAGCAATTTTGTATTGCTCCTTTTAAGTGTGCATAACAAAGCACAGACTGATCTTATTAAGGTGGCAATGTTAAATGTATTTCTAGTTTATGCCTAAATGCATTTCAACTATGTCAGGGTTCTCTCACGGTGAGCCTAGTTCGATTCACGGCTCGAGGTCCTTTGCCTATCCTTACCCTCTCTCTGCCTCCCACACTTTTCTATTTATACTGTCCTGTTTAAAGGTAAGAAACCCCTATAAAATAATAAAAATTAAAAAAAGATTTCTGGCCCTGATTGCCTTCCATATCATATCAATTGTCATGAAAACAAAAAATCTTGACGTATGCGTATGCCCCTGCCAGTATACCATTATGGTATGCAGTCCAAATAAACATGGCGTCTTATATGTCTACCCAAGCATGCTATGACTTGAATCAACCATCAATCCACACAAGTCCATGTCTCTCATATCACTCCGCAGAGCTTGATCTTTCTTTGTTGTTCTTTTCGATACCAACTCGACTGTTGACATCTTGCGTCTCAGCATTTACTCGAGAAAGAATTTACTCTTCTGGTCAAAACGCTCTGAAACAAAGCTCCATTCTGTCACTTTGTGTACACATTTCCAAAGCTGCAGATGGTGCAGATCCTCCACAGTCTGGTAAACATCTACAACTCTTCATTCCTAATGCTCAAATGGAGAAAGTGCTGGTGTCTCGGGAGTGCGAATGAGAATTCAATGAAATATTTACTTCCTGTTGCTCCCTCGCATGTGCCAACCTCCTTCCTCTGTCTCCAAAGTCTTTGGCACACTTCAAAACATGCTGTCTGAAGGAGGAACCAACGAAAGTATATACAACAGGATTTAGACAGCAGTGCGTAAGTGCCAAGCTCTCTGTGATCTGAGTAGCCCAATCCAGCTTTTTACTAACCCCACAGTGAGTGACAAATGTATACATGATATCTAAAGCCCGGCAGAACTTAACCACATTGTAGGGCAACTGCGTGACCAGGAAAACTCCCACCATCGCCAGCAAAACACGGATGTACTGCCACTTCTTCCACTTTCTATCCTCTGAGAGCTTCAGCAGAGCTCGACCTACACGGGTGTAGCAGAACAACATCACTAGTAAAGGTAGCAGAAACCCAATCACTACCTCCACCATTTCCAAACTAGCTTTAGCCCTGAGCGCCATGTCTGACGGATACATCGCAAGGCAGCTTTTTTTATGAGGGAGTTCTCTGACTGTTGAAAACACCAAATCAGGGATGCCGAGAAGAAACGCAGCCATCCAAACCACCACACAGAGTTTTCCACAATGCTGCTTTTGAAAAACACGTCCAAGGCCTTGGTTTCTGGATCCCACCGACAATGCCAAATACCGATCCATGCTGATGTAGGCCAAAAGCATCATGCTACAGGTGAAGTTGATGGTGTACAGACCAGATACGAGTTTACAGATGGTTATCCCGAGCTGCCAGCCATGGACCGCATCGACTGCCCAAAAGGGCAACGTTAGGAGCAAGAGAAGGTCTGCAACTGCCAGGTGGAGTATAAATGTGTCAGTCATTGTTTTCAGTTGCTTGCAGTATGCATAGACTGCCACAATCAGAGCATTGCCTGCTAAACCAATCACTAGAGATAAGCCAAAAACAGCTGGGAGGAAGATTCTTGCAAAGGAGCGAACGTCGCCTTTCTCGCAGATGGTCTGATAGTCATCATAGCTGAAGTTAGAGCTGCTGTTTTCATACTCTGGGTAATCGTAGAAATGCTCCTCGGAGTTCTCCATTCTCTGAAAATGAAAGCAAGGTTTAAGGGGGTTTTTATACATTCAAAAAAGGCAAGTACTTGATCTGTCCTCTACTTATCATTTACCTCATGGATGTACAAGAAGGCGTTAAAGGCTATCGCAAAGCATTTAGCTATACAGCGCAGTTGGGAATCTGATTGTCAACTAGAAGAGGATGTCAAACAGAGTATGACAGAACATTTTTTTATTTATTCATATTCTTTTCAGCTTAGTCCCTTTATTAATCAGGGGTCGCCACAGAATAAACGGCCAACTTATCCAGCAAACCAGAGGAAAACCGGAGCACCTGAAGGAAATCTACGCATACATGACAAGGTCCACACAGAAATGCCAACTGACCCAGCCGGGACTTGAACCAGTGGCCTTCAGCCTTAATTGTGCTACCCACTGTGTCAACGTGATGCCCTCAGAACATTTTGTTCATCTAATAACCCCAATCACCAATAGATTAATCCTGTCTTTTGTCAAAGAACCTACTGGACCCCACTCAAAAGACATTGTATCAATGCCTCCTTTATTCCTCTCTCTGATAAATGTCCTGACCAGGATCTTGGATCTTTTTTCATGTGATGTGGAATTTGGAAAGATACCAAAAGTTTGGAATCCAGTATGTGTTATGTTATCTAAAATTATTGAATATCTTGTACCAGTGAATCCTTCCATTCTATTATTCAGCGATTGATTCTACGTTGAATCTAACAAAGCTACAAAAGCTGGTTGTCTGGCTGGCTTCAGGACATTATAATGTTGGAATCATCCACAGCTTGAGTGAACTTGGTACAAATGAGTACATTAAAAAGATCTGGACATCAGCTGCTGACAAAATCTCTGTGTTTATTGCACAAAAACAATGATCAGGATCCAGAATGATTGCCTTTTATATAATTGATACTTGATAATGTATTTTTATTTATTTATTTTTTTCTGTCAACTTCTATTCGTTGGAGACCCCAGTTTAAATAAGAGACTGCATGATAAAGGGGTGGGGTAGTTGAATTCATATATTTCATTATATATATATTTTTAGGGTGCATGTTTTATTAACAATAATAAAATAATAATAAAACGGTGAGAATTGCAAAAAACAAACAAAAAAAAAAAACGCAAGTACTGATACAGTTGAAAAGCATATGGTTGCCAGACGAGATGTTTTACTGCCTCAGGCATGTAACAGCCATTCCAAACATTCCCAATCTTTATTATCAAATGCCCTTTTATGCATGCTTCAAATCACAGATAAACTGAAAGAAGGGATGCATATCAGTTAAATGTTGTAAACACTCCCAAGGTTTCCTGCGCAAGCTTATTTACTAAAAGTTACACGTTTCTTATTAAAACCACTTTTCATGTTTTTATTTTTCTCTTTTTGTCTGAACGCGTTGCCAAAGATTCTTAACACTTTCAATTATTTTAAAACTTCCAAATTAGTTTAATGTAATTTAGCTTATTTAAAGACTATAAATGTGTTTTATTTCATACTAATCTACAAAATTGAAAACCAAGAGTTATTTTCAAATAGCAGATATGCACGTTTTTAAGGGTTCATAATTGTTTATCCTAATTTATTTCTTTTGTTTAAGTCTTATCTGCCAAACTGCATGCTATTTCACCAGCTAACATCTTGATCTTATTAAACTTCTACTTAAAAACAAAATAATCTTCTAAAACTGAAAATGCCATGCCTTTCTTACCTCGAAAGGGTTGAAGCTTTGCCTGAAGGCAGAGTGGATCGTTTCTGTCTGCTCTTCCTGTAAAACAGTCTGTTTACTCTGACTCATACATGAAGGGTTTGACTCCCACACCTCACCATACACTCAGCCAATCTGTGATTTAAGTAAGTTTCCAACAAACATGCACAGCAAACATGCCCACTAAGTCTTACAGACACAATATTAGACTGCACATGAGATAAAAACTGTAATGCATAGCAGGCTCAACTGAAACAAGATGGTCATATAATCAAAATTGAATATGCATGCACTTATTTCATGCACATTTTTTTTTATTTCTTTAAAAAAAGTGTTAGTATAAATCTTTTGTCTCCAGAATGTGTCTGTACAGTTTCAGCTCAAAACATCCATCAGATTATTAATTATAGCTTTCAGAATACTGGATTTTCTGCTCTGAACTCAATGTAGCTTTTTTTTTTTTTTTTTTTGCCTGTGCCTTTAATGCTAGTTCTCCCCATCAATGTTTCTCAGTAAAATTGCTGTAATTCTTCACAAACATGCATTGTTTTAAAAAAGTTTCACATTTAATCACTTGATCACATTTGATGATGACTGATGATCACAGCGAGCTGAACAGATCTTATTAGTATGTTATATGTGTTACTAGACACGTTAGCACGGGTCTGTCAATCAGTTCGGTGGGCCAGGAAAACTGCACTCTACGTCATGTTGTGCCCTAAAAATGGGAGGAATTCGGATCCTATTTTAATGTCAGGAAATTAAAAAAAGAGACTTATTGTGTTTATATCACCCTATATGATTGTGGACACACTATACCTACACTCAGTTCTGTCCAAACTGCTTATAAAACCTGATTTTCATCATAGGTGCCCTTTAAAGTTTATATTGATAATAATAATAATAATAACAACAACAACAACAACAATAATAATAAAGAATTATTCATTCATTTTCTTTTTGGCCTAGTCCCTTTATTAATCTGGGGTCATCACATTGTAATGAACGGCCAACTTATCCAGTATATGTTTTACGCAGCAGATGCTCTTCCACCTGCAACACCTTTACTGGAAAATGTCCATACACACTCGTTCACACATACACTATGGACACTTTAGCTTACCCAATTCACCTATAGCACTTATCTTTGGACGGTAGGGGAAACCGGAGCATCTTGAAGAAACCCATGCGAACACGGGGAGAACATGCAAACTCCACACAGAAATGCCAAATGACCCAGCCGAGGCTCAAACAAGCAACCTTTTTGCTGTGAGGCGATTGTGCACTCACTGCGCTACCGTGATGCTCTTTTATTATTATTATTATTATTATATAAACAATCAAAGTTGAATGTACATGCACTTTTTATGCAAATTTCACTTTTTATGCACTTTTTATTTTCTTTGAAGTAAATTTTATAATGTAAACATTTAAATTTATTCTTGTGTAAAATTATGCATTTATCACACTGAATGAGCTAAACTGAACTGAACTGAACTTAAACACTAAAACCTGGACCACACTGTTCCAGTTACTATGACCATTTATGTGAAGCTGCTTTGACACAATCTAAATTGTAAAAGCGCTATACAAATAAAGCTGAATTGAATTGAATTGAATTAGAAGAAAAATGTGCTTGACTTGTTTGTAGTCTAAAATCTGCACAACTTTTTTCTTTGCTTTGGTCAGCAAAATTGAGGAGCAAATTAATAATTATTTTTTCCCAACTTTACAACATTAGTTTGTCTAATAACTGTAGGTGCATTTTAATATTTCAATCTGGCTCCGTCCTGATTTTTAAAATGCAGATGTTTGATTTCATTTCGACATTTATTCATTTAGCAGATGTTTCTTTCTGAAGTGACTTACAAATTTAGGATAAAAGAAGCTTTTAAAATCATTAGACAACAGCAATATATAATTGCCATGAGAAGTCCAAGTTAGTTAAGGGTTTTTATTTTGTGTATTTCTATTATTTAGGGGGAAAGCCTTTTAGAGTCTAAAGTCTGCTCTGTTTCCATTAATATCTGTGTGGGTGCACTTGTTTATTTTGCACGGTCGCTTGCGGTTGCTATTTGTTGCTCAGTGTGAATGCAGTGGTTCTGCACAAAGGCCAAGCGTGATTTCAAAATGTTTACCAGCTCATTTTAGATGCTTGAATAACCACCAAGTTCAATGGCAAGGAAATAGTTCATAGTTCCTATGAAAGATTATGCTGGTAAGAAAGAAAGGGTGTTGCTTTGCTTTCGACCGCCAATGTGTTTTGACAAGTTGGCAAGAAACATATTATTTCCTACGCCTTATTTAAGCTAACAACTTCTCTGGCACATTTAAACTGGCAGAACCACTCAAACACAAAAGAGGAGTAATAGTTATGTCGTTTTTGTCAACAGTGTCATTCTTTCATACAGTAGAACTGTCAAACCTCTACAGACAGCTGTTCTTCGCCTGCAATTTCCACTCGCTCCACACAATAAAAGAGTGATTTTTATGAAATGCTTTATTGTAAATATAATATAAAAATCAACAGGCATCAATTAACATAGTGTTAAAAAAAAAAAAAAAAAAGCCAAGCCAGGCCTCGAGTGCTCCTCTCTTGGATAAATGCTGCCGCTTAGTGTCCACTTTTAGCTTTACATAATCAAGCAAATGCATTTGCTTAGAAAAGATGGCAATAGAAAGATAAATGAATACTTTCACGAGCATAACCTGAGGCTTACACACTTTCTGATATATGGTGATGTGTGCCTGTGCAATTCCTTTATCAGGGAACCTGTAACGAGAGAGCAGAGACTGTTAAACTTAGTAGCTTTTTTTCTTATTTTGTAAATGTGTTGCATTATTTTATACCTGCATGGGGAAAGACACAGGATACATTTAATGCTTTAACTGGTTGGTCAGGGTCTTTTCCCTCCTGCAGTCTCCTCTCTTTTGGCACGGACAGTCTGCTGCGGCTTTAAAGTAGGAGTTCAGTGTTAAGCAATATAATATTGACCAAAAATGGCCGTTGCTGAGTTTAAATGGCGTGTTGATGGAGATCAGTGAATTGGATTTACCGGGTCTTGATTGCTTCCTAAAAGGCTGAATTGTGCAGGACGTGGTTTTTTCCGTTTGTTGTTTTTGTTTTTCTCCTGCCTCTTGACGCGGAGGTTGACGTCTGACTGAGATTTTAGAGTAAAGCAAGTCAGTACTTTTAGAATATAAAATCATTTTACTGGAAAAGTGTGTCTTGAAAATGATTTAGGGGTACACATTTTGCATTAAGATTCTTTCGCTCAGTAAGGCTGCAATTAATAATAAAAAAAGAGAAATGCAATAAAAATAAAAAAATATTATGAAATGCTATTTCAATTTCAAATATCTGTTAAATGTAATTTATTCTTGTTATACAAAGCTGAATTTGCATCATTACCTCAGTGTTTAGTGTTACATCCTTTAGAAATCATTACAATTTGCAATTTGGTGCTCTGCTATTGGCACTCTATCATAAATAATGGTGTTTATAGAATTGTTAATAACATTTTTCAGGGTTTTTGATTAATATAAAGTTAACAATTTGTTTGAAAAACTTTTGTAATGTTAGAAATCTATGTGCTTTTCACTTTTGATCAGTTTAGTGTATCTGTAATATTTAGAATAACTTTTTGAAGAGTACTATATAATAGTTTCCTCAAATATAAAATGCACACATATATATATATATATATATATATATATATATATATATATATATATATATATATATATATATATATATACTTCTGGAGAAAGTCTTATTTGTTTTATTACGACTAGAATAAAAGCAGTTTTTTTCTTCTTTTTTTAAAACCAATTTAAGGTCAATATTAGCTCTCTTAAGCAATAATTTATAGTCGATAGTCTACAAAACAAACCATCGTTATACAATAACTTGGCTAATTGACCTTTAATTGCACATTAAGCTGAATACTATTATCTTAAAATAATATCTAGTAACACATTGTGTACTGGCATGTATCATGTCAAATATTTATCAAATATAAAATAAATCAGTTATTAGAAATTGGTTATTAAGATTATGATCTTTTAGAAATGTGTCAAAAAATATCTCCATTAAACAGAAATTGGAGGGAAATAGGGGGACTAATAATTCAGGGGGGCTAATAATTCTGACTTTAACTGTATGATCTACAGTATATATATATATATATATATATATATATATATATATATATATATATATATATATATATATATATAAATGCTGTTTTTACTTTTGTGAAATATTTAAATGTATTATTTAATTTTACCTTTGGCCCTCCATTGTCTCGTAAAATGGAAAATTGTCCTGATTGTGGAGTTTTTTGGTACACATGTTTGCTGTTTTCCTGTAGATCATAAAAAAAATTACTTTTTCTAGTGACACTTTTCTCTGCTTGATTGATCTCTGCTTTGGGCAACAATTAAGATCACAGATAGAGCTGCCTGTAAGCTGCAGATTATATACTTTGACCGATCTTTAAAAAGTTATTTTGTAAAGTACTACTGCCATTTACAGTTGAATTCAGAATTATTAGCCCCCCTTTTAATTTTTTTCTCTTTTTTTAATATTTCCTGAATGATGTTTAAAAGAGCAAGGAATTTTTTATTTTTAAGAATTTTTATTTTTAAGAAAAAAAGTAGTTATAAATTTTTAAAAACCATTTTAAGGACAAAATTATTATCCCCTTTAAGCTATTTTACAAACCATCGTTATACAGTAACTTGCCTAATTACCCTAACCTGCCTGGTTAACCTAATTAACATAGTTAAGCCTTTAAATGTCACTTTAAGCTGTATAGAAGTGTCTTGAAAAATATCAAGTCAAATATTATTTACTGTCATCATAGCAAAGATGAAATAAACCAGTTACTAGAAATTAGTTTTTAAAACTATAATGTGTAGAAATCTGTTGAAAAAATCTTCTTTCCGTTAAACAGAAATTTGGGAAAAAATAAACAGGGGGCTAATAATTCAGAGGGGCTAATAATTCTGACTTCAACTGTTAGTAGTAACCCAAGAGAGATCATCATCATCATCAACCAAAGCCCTATAATCTTCTTTTAGATTATGAAACAGCAGCAGCTGGAAAAAAAAAATCATTTCAAAAGATTTTGCAAAAGTGACAGGACACTTACTCTCTGTGATGAAGCAACTGACTTTTCTTCATTTTTCTCCTCTGTCTGTCGTCGCACTCTGTACATCTTAAAAAAATCATTGTTAAAAGACTTATTAAAAAAATATCTGAATGTGTATACAACTGAGCTAAAGTAGTTATGAGAGGACATGTGGCTCTGTTCAGAGCTCTCAGTATGGATTTGTTTATTAATACCTCAGTCAAAAATGCTCAGTTGCTAATTAATCAAATTATTTAAAACATAATTGCTACTAAAATTACCTTAATTTCAAATATTGTATAAAATAAGTCATTGGTGCTGCCAATCACTTTGCAAAAACCAAAAAAATCAAATAAAAATACCTGTTCTATATAATAAATAAATAAATAAATAAAATAAATGTCCTTTTTTACCTTCCAGTATGAGCTCAGTTGAAGCACTGCCAGCTGAATTTACCACTAACCTGAAGCTGAGGAATATCCTCCTCATCAAGATTCGGTGGCATTTGTTTGCTTGATTCAGTATCAATTTCTTCTCCATGAAGACTGGAGATGAGCAGGCTAAGACACAGCAGCCCTAGTTCCACACACACCTTCATCCTGTTGCTTTTCTGCAGACCAGACGCACTTCATCTCCTCTTTATACTCTCATTTGATCACTACCAGATGTCCCGAAAAGGGGCAGTAACACATTTGGCCTGATGAAAACATTTTGAAACAGCATTCAACAAGCATCTTTGCTTAGGTATGCAGTGATCTTCTGTCTAATACTGGCAGATGAAATGTATCATGCGTGTGTGATTCGTCTGGCCGAGGGCCAAAGAGGGGGGCCAGTGTATCTCATAAGACTCTTATTATTGCAGTTTATCATCCAGCTTTCAGTTGTGCTTTTGATTTATAACTTTGATTGCAGTAGATGGTATCTTGAAATATATAAATTTGATGATAAAAAATGATTGAAAAGAAGTCTGTGGACCGAGAAAGAGTGAGGTGGGAAAATTTGGCCTTCGATTTGTGTTACTCTTTCCAAACCAGCTGACTGGATTTATGCATGTGATAAAGATTAAGTCTGAAAAAGTTGAAGCATTAGCTTTCCCTACAGCCTTAATATGCGGATCAGTTGACAATATTTCTGTTTTACTGCTTATATTAGGTGGCTTTTGGATGATCGAATAACAAGTACAGTAGACACATTCCCATTTACGCCTTCTGTTTAATCCAGACCTACTGTATGGTCCTTTGTGACTTGTGTGATTCAACACATCCTACAATGTTTAAGAATATATGGCTGTGGAGAATTATGTGTATGGTGGAGATTAGGTGGTCTTTTTTGCCTGTTCCAATTACTATGACCTTTTGAGGATTGAAACTGTTTGGATGGGCTCAAACTATCTTTAGAAGAATTCAGAAGGAGTCAGGCTTAACTTTTAAACTCTCTTTATTTTGCATTGACCATTTTTCTATTATTTAGTCAAAACAGCTTTGTAACAGGTGTAAACAAGCACTGGTTTTAGCTGGTCTTTCAACTGGACCACCTTACTAAATAAAACCAAGACCAGAAAATTGAATTGAGTCTTATTTAGACAGTTTTACGCATTAATTTACTGATAAGATTTTGTTAAATGCCATTATTTTTATAGGAGCAAAACTGTTTTGGTATATGTCAATGTGCCAAAAAAAAAAATTTGTTTCTACACTATTACTATAATAAAATTAATTTTTTTTTCAAGGTAGTGCAAAATTGTGCTTTAAGTCATTGGTTATCACATTAATATTACATAATAAATAACCTATGGTTTATTTATTAAATGACATGACAAGAAAGCACAAACAATAACAAAACACATTTGAATAATATCAATTAAGCAAAATTATAATATTCCTAAATAAAGAAAGAACTGACTAACAGACAAATGCATGGATGAAAGGAAAGACAGAAGATGACAGGATGGACAAATGGATGAACTGACAGATGGATTGATAAATGAACAGACTAGAGCTAGCAAGAAGCAAACAGAGAGATAGATAAATGTTATTCTTTAACATTATTCTTTAAGCTATTTTTTTTAAATGCTATTTAAATTAATTAAAATGAGAGTTTCTCTTTTAAATATCGAGACTATAATAAGTAAGACGCCATTCTCAATATGTTATGACTGTTCACCATGTCCAAGAGTGGATTAGCGGCACTGCAGTGGTCGAGAACAGGAGGTTGGCAGAATTCTGGACTAGTGTTCATAAATGGCTTGAGACCACACTAGGTGCACGCGCTCTCTCATTTCCCGCGCTTTCTTCTCATACTCTTGACTTTTTTGTCAAACTTGTCAAAATGTTTACTTCGAGCGTGCCCGAAAGACGCTGACCGTATCGATTTGACGCGGACATACATAATGAGTTTGACTTCAAATCTTGACAGCTTGGCAGCCGCTGGTCGAAGAGAGCTGACGTAAGCGACTGAGCTGGAGACGCGACGGTGAGTGCTGCATCCTAACTAGCTCCTCTCAAAATACATAACAGTTGTTGTTGTTTTAGATCCTCCTTATAGACTATTCCAAATATAAATGAGCCAATGCGATGTGATTATATGTATAACATTGTAATATTGTTACAACAATAAAAATTCTGTCATCACTCACTTTGTGGAGCACAAACGATTATGTTAAGCAAAATAAAATGTTCAGTCTCCATTTGCTTTAATGAATCCTAGGGATGCCTCTAAACTGAATGGGGACTAAATGGTTAGATGTGACAGTTGTGATCTTCAGAAAAGGCATGACCTGAGAGTTTTCAAACCAGTAGGCTATAGATTTCTTTCTTCTGTTGAACTTTTAAAAATGTGAAAATGTGAGAAGTTCTTGTAACAAAGCAGTAGCTGACTTCTTTTGACTACTTTGGAAGTCAGAGAAAGGACTGGCATTGTTTCAGACACATCCTTCAAAATATATTCTTTTATGTTAAGCTAAAGAATAAATTCACAAATATCTGGAAAAGAATTGAGGGTGAGTGATGACAGCATTTTCAGTTTGGGAGAAACATTCTTTTAAGTGTTGCAGCTTTCTGACAGATAAATTGTAGTTATACCTCATGGGCAAAAAGCTCTGTGTTTGCTTTTACTGTCAACTCGACTGATGGATTTAAGGTTGCTGAGAATGATCTGTTCGTTTTGCTTTGTGGTTAATGAAAGCCCATGGGTTTGTTTTTTTAAACTGTTGTGGATACCTGGCCTGCATTGTTGAAGTTTATTATTGTATTTATTCATTTTGAATGAATATTTTTATTCATTTTAGTTTTGGTTTCAAATAATTAAAAAAAATGTAATTGTGATGTGTTATTAATCATACTTTAATAATATAATTTGTTTTTGAATTCTTTCTATTTTCTATTTAATTTAATAAATATAATTATGAGGGGCGATGCATGTAAAGCATAGTCAAACCCTTAGGGGTATTGTACAATGAAAAACTACCCATTTTCGTGATATGTTAGGACTCAGATTTAAAGGCCACCTATTTTACCCATTTTTAAAGATTTAATATGTCTTTAGTGTCTCCAGAATGTGTCTGTAAAGTTTCAGCTAAAGACAACCATCAGATTATTTATCATACCTTTCAGAATATTCACATTTTCTGCTCTGAACACTATGTAGCTGTGTTTGTTGCCTGTGCCTTTAATGCTTGTTCTCCCCGCCCACTGTTCCCTCTGGCCTGTCAGAGTGTGCCTCAATCTCTGCCTCGGCTGTGTCAGATAAACAGCACAGTGACAAACATGAAGGAAGTAGATCTTGCATAGCGTTTGTAAGAAATAGTAAGAAATTTCCCAATAATAATTTGATGCATTTGCTTTGGAGTTAATTCTGCAACGATGAGTCGCACACGTTGTTACAAAGTTTATGCACACACACACATACAGCGTGCACGTTCAACTTTGCATTTTTTTTGTACATGTTAATATACACTACTGTATGAATATCTGTTACGTTGATGTACAAAATACACCTGATTTAACTTCCACAATTCAGGATTGAAGCGTCTTCTTTTATAAATGTACTAACAGGCGGCTGTGCTGATAAAGTAAAAAAGGGTAAAATCCCTTCAATTCATTACAAACATGCACTGTTTTGAAAACCTTTCAAATTTGTAAAAATCATTCTTGATCACATTTGATGATGATTGATGATTACAGAGAGTTGAACAGATCTTTTAATCCTGGTTGCTTTGCGCACGTCCTGTCTTGTTGATATGATTCTATGCATTAATACAGAGACATGTTAATGTCAATCAATTCTGTGGATGGAAAAACTGTACTCCTATATCATAGTGCGGTTTTCTTCAAAATGGGAGGGATTTGGATCCTATTTTACCATTAGGAAATAAAAAAGAGACTTATTGTGTTTCTATCACTCGAAAATGACAGTGGACTCACTGTACCTGCACACAGTTCTGTCTAAATACCTTACAAAAGATGATTTTCATTATAGGTTCCCATTAATAAAAGAAGAACACACTGGTGAATAAAAATTGCATTGTTGGGAGCCTTTACCAAATCTGGGCCTTATTGAGTCTACTGCCTGATTAAACAACCTTATGCAAGGGGGTTTACTTCTGAGTTTTGCAAGGCAGTGTATTATGTTGATTTCATAATGGGGAAAAATGTATAATCACAACAGGGTATTGTCTACAGATTTACCTCACAGCTGAAAGACAAAGAGATAAATCATTCATGTTATAGTATAAAAAAAATATCTAATAAAATACAACAATATGACAGCTCTAATTCAAAGACCTTATAAAGCCAATGGCGCAGCTGGTGCCAAGCTTTTGGTGTTATTAAATGACTCTCTTCTGCTGCCCTCAGCTAACCGTCCACACAGACCAGGTATCTTATTAGCTCTGTAGAGGTGAAGGATGGGCCGTAAACTGGATCTCTCTGGCCTGACGGATGTGGAGGCTGAGCATGTGATGCAGGTGGTGCAACGGGACATGCAGCTGCGCAAGACGGAGGAGACACGGCTTTTGTAAGTCTTTTGTAAAATCACTTTTATGATTATTCCTGCTGAAAACACATTCACAAAGTGGCAGTTTCATAAAAGTCTGTTAAGTTTTCAGTTCATTAAAATAGTTATTTCAAAAAGTATATTTAGCAGCTTATGTATATTTAAGAAAAACAATAATAGAAAATAGGCTTGACAACCAAATATCATGTCACAGTGAACATTTGAATGAAGTTGTTAAACAACTTACATTTTAAAATATATTTTAATTGTGATAATTTTTCACAATATTACTGTTAATAATAAAGGAATGCAGTCTTGGTGACTAAAAGACACTTGTGGAAACACATTTTTACTGACTCAAACTTCAGTATTTATCAGTTTTAACATGATTATGTTAAATATAAACATTTTTCTAATTGAATATTTCTTATTAAATTCCATCAACATTTTCTCACAGCTGATATCACTCGAATGGCGTTCAGGTCATGAGAGAGCATGAGGGAGTTCCCATCATTCTTTGCATAAAAATGAACAAAATGACAGGAAAAACCCTCCCTTTCCTCTTCTTCTGTGACTCGCTTCCTTAAGCTCAGCATGAATGAGTTTCAGCTTTGAGGGAATCTAATTCTGACCTACAGATATTTAAAGATGTTTAATGAACATGAGAGAAACTCATGTTACCGTATATCTCACATTATCGCAACGTTTACATTCGCAGACATTTTAAAATTAAAAGACTTTCATTTTTTAAAGATAAAATATATAGACATTTATTTTTGCTGCATGGAAACATAATTGTCAGAAATGTGCAGCATCCTTAACTATTGGTCTTACCTATCCTAGTTCTTTTATTTATATATGTTTTTGTTATAGTACTATCTATAAAAAACGTTTTAAACAGCCCACTCTTTTCATGTGTTAATGTGTTCCGTGTATTTAGTCTGTAATCTCTTTTGACTTTCCTCTATTATTGTTTTTTCCTTTTAAAAAGTACGATATTGGCACAAAGGAGCACATTACTCATCATACTAGTTTGGGGTGATAAAAAAACACTTTGGGTAATGGCTTTGTTTGGCACCAGGGTTTTATGAGACTGACAGACACGCACTCTGCTAATCTCTCACTCTGTTTTTGAAAATGCTAGCTTGCTGGATCAGGAAGTTGGAATAATGGCACAAACATTAATTAGGGAAAAATCTAAAACAAACAAGCCTTCAGAATAAACTATTTCATGTTTGTAGAAACACATTTCACATAGTCACACAAAGAGACTCTTCTACTCACAAGTACTCACAAATAAGATTGGTGGATAAAGAGAATCAAATTTGTGTATATGGACTATAATTCGAAGAGGAAGACTTTACATGTAACCTTGCTTATGTGGACAGACTTACAAGGTATACTTTAGCACATTGCAAAATTTTTTATGACCCAAGTTATATATAAAAAAAGTTTTAACCCATATTAAAGTCTTTGTATTCTTTCAAACATCTTCGCACATTCACTGCTGCTGTAGTTTGCATTCCTTCAGATCTTTTTTTTTGTTTATGGTAAAATGGGAGGTACAAAAATAATAATAATTTAATTAATAGATAAATTCAAATGTGGAATAGCAAAGTCACAGTTACTAAAATCCAGTGGTGGGTGTACAGTTTTTACGCAGTATTCTTCTGATGTAGTTTGCTTCATGTACACTGTAAAATTAAAGTATTTGTTTTGGCTTGAATTGATAACATCTTTAAAACAGATGCCATCATTACGTTCTTTATTACTGTGTTTACAATAAACGCATTTCATTACTGACATGCCCTTAATGTAAACAGTAGACCTATCACACCAGACCATCTTGGGCCATCTGACCAGTCAGAGCAAAGCAGACGCTCAGAAGGGAGGAGTTTAGAGAGACAGGATCCTTGATCGAACTGTTTTGAAAACTGTGAAAACAGCTGATTCTTTAATTTACAATATGTTGTGAGAAACAGAAAGTATATTTTGATCTTGTATTGATTTAAACCAATAGTAGGAGACCTCCAAAACAAAATCAGGACATTTTAAAATAGCATAATAGGGGTCTTTTAAGTATTTTGGAAATTCAAGTGAATTAAACATAGCTTTATTTAAAGGGGTGGTCCACTACAATATCATATTTTAAACTTTAGTTGATGTGTAATGTAGCTGTGTGAACATAAACAACATCTGTAAATGTATTACGCTCTAAGTTCAATGCAAAGGGAGACATTGGCTTTTACAGTTAGTTTAGCAAAGTTTGGGGACTACGAAAAAATGCTTCCGGGTTAATGATGTCATAAACCCTTCATGTTATGCGCACACACCCTGCACAGCAAAGGGGCGTGGCCAGAGGCACTGTAATGTTATAGAGAGAAAGCTAAAATGCGGTCTCAATGCTACTATTTTCACGGAGCTTCTCTGTTTCTATATTTGAACTTCCAAAGGAAGATAACCATAATAATATTCTTTTACGTCGCTACAAAATCTTAAACTGCCTCATTTAATGCAGACAGCATTTTTTCTTCTCCCAAATGTGTTCTGCCTGCATGCATCAAGCTTTTCAATATCCGCGCTGACACCTGGGGAGCATCTCTGAATTTCAAACAGGGCAGAGTGACTTATATGAGAATGGAAGAGCACAAAAATAAGATTATTAGAAAAGACCCTTGGAGTAAGGAGATGAAAATGCACAAAGAGAGGCTTAAAATGATTTCCACATCATCGAAAAGTGTTACAGTTATTACTCCCCAAGTCTAGGGGAAACAAAAAGGGCATAATAAACGAAGAAAAAAAAACTAATGTGTTGGGGTGGTGGATTTCCCAAACGAAACAAAACTTAAAGCAAAAGATTCCCTTTGGTAGACAACCAAACTCACACACTCAATTGAGAGTATATATGAAGATATTTATTATAGAAAAATAAGGTTTATATAAATGAGCATTTCGTCAGGGTCACCACAGGCCAAAATAACAAACAGAAGAATCTATAAAATAAATCCACTAACTTACCTATTACTATTTAAAGAAAAATACAAGAATCTTACCTTACTCCCTAACATAAACAAAGTCAAAAGTAATCAAATAAATAGGCAGGTCACCCCTACACGCTCAAACTCTAAAAAAATATTTAAACATATGATGGTCATCAATACAAAGTTGGTTGTTGTTGGTCGTCAACCGAAGGAGTGAGGGAAACCCAGGAGCTCCACTCCAAACACCGAACGCACAGAAATGAGGTCTTCGAACCCTGCCGGAAGCTCCTTTTTATATGTGCTTTTGTGACCAGCAGCCAATCAGATCAGGGAATCACGCCGGTATGGGAGCCTGTGAAACAACAGAAAAACAACAACAAGGCGGGACAAAAGAAAAAGACAGGACAATCCGCAATAATAAATAAATAAACTCCAGTCGTAACACAGTAGATTAGTTTCAAAGAAAACCAGCTATGCAATCAAAGCATCATCATATACAATATATGTTTTTTAAGGTCCTTGATTTTTTTTGTCTTAATTTTACATCAATCCAAACATATACATTTGTTTTGGATAACATGCATTATAGAACGCATCTTTTCTCTCAGTGTCTGATATGGTTAGTTTAAGGATTTAGTTTCTTCAAACCCCTCGTTTCTGAGAGTTTGCTCATGTTCTAATTGACATAGTGAAGTGACGTATTAACTCGCAAGTAAATGATTCCATTTCAACAAAAAGGCCGGCTATAATTTTACATCTTTCCTCAAATATTTGCCAACGATATGGATTATTAGATTATCGGACATATTTGCAGGAGCAAATCCCTTTATGGTGAGTGAGAAATACTGTGATATTTGTACTAAACGCTGCTTTTGTTTTTACACTTTGCATGCGCACGATAGAAGTTATGATTTTCAATTGTGAACAAGAAAACAGATTTGTGCCACTCAGGTGCTGAAAGACATTTCCTCCTATGCGGGTGCAGAACACACACTCTCATTTTAGTCGACTTTTGTTTGTTTGGTGTGTTCATGTGCAGCTTTTTGGTACAGTCAGTGCGAGTTGTTTGGCGTCAGAACTTGGTGGATCACTTGGTGTGTTCCAGCCTTAACATTATAACTAATCGGTATAGTGTTCAACTTTGTCCGTTTTTAAATTTTGTAATTGAATAACTTATTCAGTGCTGTGAGCAAACTTGTTCTCCAGCTTGTGAAGTAAAAGTGAGGTGCACAGCTTCACGGATGGACTATTGTAATAACTCATACAAAAGTATTGGCTGTATTACCAAAAATATTTATATTTTTATGGTAGTGACTTTATGAAATATGATAACATGACATACATTAAAAGCTTAATTTGAATATCTTAATAGAAGCTTTGAATGTAAATATAATTTGACAATATAATGTCTTACATGTGGACAGTCAGAATGACTGTCATGGCCATTCTAGTAGGCTATACAATTCTGGTAGTTCCAGTGTTAAAGCTAATATTTACAAAAAAAAAACATAATGGGGCACTTTATAATGTTTAACCTATAGTTTGAACTAAACAATTGTATATTTTAATTTTGTGTTAAAGACTAATAAAAGTAACTGCAGATGGAAACAACTCAGCTAGGAATGCAGCTGAAAAGTGTGCAGCACCAATTTAGGTAAACATAAAGACCCATTAAGGACTACTAAATCTATATCAGCATTTGGAAACCATCTAGAATGAGACCCTAGAGTCCTCAATCACTCAACCATGATTTTCCATTTTATTACATCAAAGATTTCAAACAGATGGCAGAGTCTGACATTTGTTTGTGAGGGCACTGATAATCCATTGCACGAAGAGGAAATATGTTGCTACCACACACAAAACATGATTCTGGGAAGGCATTTTATCTTGTAGGACAGACTTCAACTGGCTGGTCATTTTGGTTCTAGACTTTACAAATGATGTGACTAGATATTTTGTTTATTCTCATGCTCACCCATGCAATATATATACAGTTTTAACAACGCAATCTCACGGGTATTAATGTATATGGACATT